ACTCGAGTCTCGCGATGACTAGAACCAAAAAAAAAGAAAGATCCCTTTGATGGATCGAAGATGTGAGATCAAACACACATGAAGAGCGGTGATCAAGGCAAGACGGATCGAATCTCATTGGGACCACTCTGGATCGATCTCGAGAAGTTTTTCTTTACATCAATACAAAAAGAACGAGAAGCGATCTAATCGAAGAGAACAGACGATGACTTTTATTTGAACTTTTGAGAGAATCGGGAGAGTGGGGTATGATGTTCGTGGTGGAGGGCACTGTAGTGACCTCGAGTGGGGTTTTTGGAGTTCTCCACCGAGACTGAGATCGAGTTTTTCCTGGTAAATGTGTTGAGTTTTTGGCCTGATGATTCCAGTAAGAGTTGGATCTTTTTTTATCAAATTGAGATGATTGGGTAGTCAGCAGTTGAAAGATTCTAGCATTCTGTCTATCTGGCCAGGTGCCCCTTGACTTCTTCTCTCGGGCCACTTCATCAGATAGAGGAAAAAGAGAAAGTCAAGAGCGTGCTTAACTTTTTTCTGTATTTGATTTGGATCTAGACCATCGACGGGAATAGTTTTGATCCGATTATTGTTGACTGATGCACGCCGAATGATCGATGAGCGAGAGGGAAAAAATGGATTCAGACACTTTGACTCGAAAAGGTACTTTGAAAACACAACAAAGACTAACGATAGAACCCTTTGAGTATCCCGGAGCCACCGGTAGGTCTGACGACGAACTCGACGAATGGAAATTGCTTGACGAGCTTGTAGAGGCTTGGGTTTTTAGACTCCGGTGCCGAGGAGAGCGACAAGAAGTTCCTGAGCCCGTTCTGGCTCTGTCGTTGTTGATTAAATTCGATCAATAGTTTCCTGATTGGTAGGATGAAGCTCTCCGGGTTGGATGGGTTCGGTTGGGTTATCAGCTGTCGCCTGAGGATCCGTGGGATGATGTGTGTCGATGGCATCTTCTTCTCAGGTTGTGTGTGTGTTGTTGATGATCGCCTGTTGAGGTTGGCTGGATTGACCAAAAATATTTGAGTGGTATAGGGTGAAACATGCTGACATAAGCAAACTGCCCGGGACAAAATCCCAAGGGGAACAGTTTCAAACGAGTGACCCGTTTCCACACTTGGAGTACAAAATCAATTTCCCCAAATGAAGCAGATGGTTCGACGAAATCAAAAAGAAAATATTCAAGATGGGAAATAGGGATTGAATTGCAAAGTGGTGATCCTAAAGAAGAGGGAAACAGGAAAGATGTATGAAGAACAACGTACTGCAAATCGAAAGGCAAATCAGATTCAAAAGATTCATAGAGAGAATAATCAATGAAGCCAGAGATGATTGAAGAAGAGGAAGAAAAAAATGCAATCATAGCAAAAAAAAAACGAGGCAGTAACCATTCTAAGGATGATGGAAAGTTCACAATATTCACACTTGTGTGCACTCAAGCTGGATACATGGTGAGGGGCGCATTGAAGATGACAGTCAATCAATCAACCCAGCTTCCTGACACATCTTACAAAATTCTGAATCTTTGTTTTTCATCAAGTTAGCAGGCGAATCGAATTCGGCTACTTTACCCTTATTGATCACTAAGATTTTATCACAATCCAAAATCGTGCTGTTGTTGTTTTTGTTTTCGATTTTGATAGATAGATAGCAAGTTGTAGGAAACAACACAGGAGTCAGGAAAAGAGAATGTGACTAATTGATTTAAACACAAAGAATTCAGACTTACTTCAACCTATGAGCAATCACTAAGATTGTAAACGATTTAAATTCGGTTCTGATCACCGTTTGGATTAACAAATCTGTTTCGGGATCCACCGAGCTGGTGGCTTCATCCATCACCAATATCTTGGAGGATTTCTGGAGCATTACCCTAGCTAAGCACAACAGTTGTCGTTGACCGTTGCTTAGATTGTTTCCACCTTCCTCTATCTTTGCATCCAGTCCGCCCTCCTACAAAACAAAGTCGAGCCAATGAACTCATCAATGATATTTCTTTTTTCGGTATCTTAGGGAAATCATATCATCTATCGGGCTTACCAAAGATTGAATGTGGCCTTTCAACTTCGATTGTTCCAACACCCTCCACAGTTCTTCATCTGTTTTCGAGCCTTCAGGGTCAAGATTGACTCTCACGCTACCTTCGAAACATTGCGAATCTTGGGGGATGATGGATATCTTCGATCTTAAATCATTCAACCCGATTTGACTGATATCCACACCGTCGATTAGGATTCTGCCCGCTGATTTCTCGATCAATCTGAATAAAGATAACGTAATCGTTGATTTCCCAGCCCCCGTTCGACCACAGATCCCGATCTTTTCTTGCGCTTGAACCTTGAAGTCGACGCCTTTCAACACCAAATCCAAGCCATCTCGGTAACGACATTCAACACCCTCGTAGACGATTTCTCCCTTTTCTGGCCAATTGGAGCTTGGTCGATGGTGCTCAACTGTCTCCCATGGCCCCTCTGATTTCAATTTGGTGTATTCAATCACTCGTTCACAGGACACGATATTCGTTTCAACGTCCGTTGCGACTCGTACGAGCCAACCAAGTGATTGTGTAATTGAAAGTGCATAGGACATTAGCACACCGACCATTCCACTGTCGAGAGGTTTGCTGGCTGCGAGGTTGGTTACTACCAACGATGCTACGGTCAAAATCATCACATGCCCAATTGATTCTAGACGAACGGCCAGCCAACGGTTCGCACTAATCGAAGCAAAACACGCTTCCAGGTTGCGGTCCACTTTGGTCTCGTTCTCGGCAACAAACCGGCCCTGGGAGGAGGAAAAAAATGAGTGAAAATCGATTGAATGTGTTCCAGTTTTTTGAGTACTTACTTGTTCCGCGAATGCTCTGATTGTAGCAACGCCTGCCAATGTCTCGCCAAACATGGCAAAAATCGGAGACTTGGTGATTGCATCAATGCGTTTGATTTCTCGCGAGGTGGCAAGGTAGTACGACTGGACACTTTTGTAAACGAAAAGGAGTGGTACACAAACCAGGAGAAACGGTGGCACAGCCCATGACACCACTGCGAAGATACTAATTGTACCTGTTGATGAAAGTGAGACAAAACTTGAGATTTCCACTCTCAACTCTAAACAGCTATCACAATAATGGAAACTGACCTGCGGCAGTGCGGAGAAACCCAGTGAAGACCCGGGGAAGTATTTCATCGATGATGAACACATCTCTGAATAAATTTGGAACAAAATCCAATCAGTCAAAGAACATTTTTTGCTTGTGACTGAAAGCATATCTCACCTGGAAAATCGATTCAAGATAGTGCCAGCAGGTGTGGCTATGGAAAGACGGTCACCATTGAGATGGAAGAGGAGAAGATCTAGTCAGGAACGGATTCACAGAAGCATCCCAGAATCAGATGGGATGATCGGATGAAGATACGAAATCACTAAACTGTCAAAGAATGACATCGGAGCCCTCAAGATCTTGCCAAACATCCGATCATGGAAGAACTTTGCACATCGGACCGCACAAATTGAGAAAGAGGTGATGGCATCCACAAAAGCCGCCACACTGGTCAGAAGACCCAACAGACCGTAAATTCCTAAAAAGTATCCCAGGTGAGGATCCTGATTTTCCGAGGGGGTTTGATTACTTGAACTCCAGTTTCTAAGCCATAGAGTTGTCAGCAACGAAATGATTTGCTGTGCAACGATTGCACTCAACGCAATCCCTCCACTAACGACGCCGTTCGCGCGTAGGTAAGTTTTGTAAACATCGTAATTGACTGAGCCTTGTTCTCTGTGCTCAGTGACTTTCCCAGGGGGCTTTTGAATCTTCAGGACTTGCCTGTTGTTGTTCTTGGACGGGGTGAGCGTTGGTCGCCTCATTAACAAAACAGACTCTCGACGGGGCTTGCTGAAAGAGCATCCGCCGCTGTTCTCCGAAGCCACAATAGTTGTGTCCAATCGAATGAGTTGCTCAGTGTCGAAAATGTCATCCTGGGACAATTTTTGCCAAAATCATCAATCAGCTGCTTCAAATCGCCTTGATTGGCGAGGAC